ACTGGCCACTGGACATTTTTTTTCTCTATACTGGCTCTGTGAGGGACTCCTGCAACAGCTGCTTGCGATAATGGAGCTGCCTGGTAATAAATGAGTTATTGGCTTTATATCTTCAGCAAAGTTGCTACTATCATCTCCTGCAGAGCCTGAGGGTTTCCTGACAGGGAAGGGGATGTTACCTTCCCTTTAACTGCTGAAGGAGCGCATCCCGAATGTTCTCTTGGCTGGGACTGTGGGCACCCTACTCTGATGGCAAATTTGCCCAGCAGAGGAGCCACAGGCAAATGGGCTGAGTGGATCTCTCATCCTGGTTCCGCAGCATCTGTGCAAAGCATCACAGCGATGAGGTGGTGGAGAAGGATGTCTCCCACGGGGCTCGGCCACCCAGGAAAGATAAAGGTGGTGAGAATTCCTGACCTGGCTGATGGAAAGCATGAGGATCAGCCAGAGTTGTACAGCTTGTAGGTGAACTCCAAAACCCTGCCGTGCATGTACATGCAGGCTTGAAGGCCAAGATCATGGAGTCGATCAGAAGCCACTTGCCATCTGTAGGAGATGAGGATCTGTTGTCCAGGGAGAGAAGCCATGCTGGCTGAGAGCGCATCTGCTGCTCTTCGTAACAGCATTTGACAAAATGAACAGGTCTGCACTTTACTCGCGTGATCTCAGCCAAGGCTTTACCTTCGCTTCTCTCTTCTTCTTTCCATCAGCCCACTCCCCCGCCCCATTTGAGGGTTTAACAGCCATACCACCTTAGTGTAATATTTTCATGTTCAGCTTAAGGATGTATGTTCCAAGGCCCTGAGTCACATTAATTAAAACTCAGCTCCACTTCTGACATTTAATTAGTTCTTGGCACTTCAAATTAAAAAAAAAAAAATTATCACAGAATCACAGAATGTTCAGGGTTGGAAGGGACCTCTATGGGTCATCTAGTCCAACCCCCCTGCCGAAGCAGGGTCACCTACAGCAAGCTGCACAGGACCTTGTCCAGACGGGTCTTGAATATCTCCAGAGAAGGAGACTCCACAACCTCCCTGGGCAGCCTGTTCCAGTGCTCCGTCACCCTCAGAGGGAAGAAGTTCTTCCTCATGTTCAGACGGAACTTCCTCTGCTTCAGTTTGTGCCCATTGCCCCTTGTCCTGTTGCTGGGCACTACTGAAAAGAGCTTGGCCCCATCCTCCTGACACCCACCCTTCAGATATTTGTAAGTATATATTAGGTCCCCTCGCAGCTTTCTCTTCTTTTGAATCAACAGATCATCTTCTTGATCATGTGGACATACTGTAAAGACTTTGTTTTGGCCAGTTTTTCAAGGCAATAACATATTTGTTTCAAACTTTAAATGTAGCAAACCAAACAACTTCCACCGGTAACCTCTGAGCTCCTGAGCTAAGTGCCTGGATACGGGAAGGAGAGAAGTATGGGAATTCACCTGCTTAGCTGGAGAAAACCTTCTGCTTGGGAGCTCAGGACAAGGGAGCTCACGCAGTGCTTCGTTGTTACCTGGGCTGCTTACACCAGAAATAACAAACGTACCTCCCCCCCGCCCCGAAAAGTCACCCTACCAAAAGCCAGGCTCTCCAGTTCTGGCCAGGAGG